ATTACCGATAAACCAGCCCTTACCTGGAAGAACAACACGAAGCACACCCACTGGTAATAAGTGTAGTATTTCCTCGCGTCGACGTCGCCGAAATCGTTCGCCACTCCTGGATGCGCGACCTCCAAGCCGACCTGCGACAAATCGGCCGCTCAATAATACGATAACGACGAAACGGTACAAATGCAGCTGATTAACACTAAAACTACCGAATAGTCAAATTGACTTTTTGAAAATCCTCTATAGAAACTTCAAGAGTGTATCTATTGAAACTTTAATTGATTTCAAATTCAATTTGGACATTGCTAAAACAATTTCTTTAAGAATTTCTCAAAGACATATCTGTTATCTTTTGGATAATTGCAAAAAGAAGAAATCAGGAATGGGTGATTTTGACCTTGATCTTTCGCCTTGGGTTTTCATTCAACTATACCCTAAGTGCATTCGTCCTGCTTCTGACGAGTACACACTTCATTTTTTCATTTTATTCTGCGCGAAATGAGAGATTTTTGAAACTAAGTTTCACAGTTAACAGGTTAAATTTACACGTCCGATTATGTATTGATATATCTACACTCAACACTATTCACCTCTTTCAGGACAATTGGAGACAATTTGGAGATATTAACCCTTCGCGGTCAAATGCCGTCATAATGAAGACTTCTAGCTTTTATATCTAAATTGAAAAGCTGCAACCGAATAATTTAATTATTCAAATAATGAGAGATTGATATGTTTCCTGTTTTCCTAAGTGATGCCTGTTTAATTATTTCTTGATTGTTACAGTTTTGAAATATTTCATTTTTTATTAAGCGTTGTAATTTTAAAATGTTTGTGGAACCCTTTTAAAAGTATTTTGTTAAAATCTGAATAAATTTAAGTTACAAAATTTGAATTATTTGTTGCGTCTATTAAAAACAAACAGTAATATAATCTTTTAATGGAGCAACTCTGAGCAATTTTTACTTTATTCTAATATAAAAAAATAATAATAAATAATTAATTTGCTTTATTCTAATATAGATAAACGCTAGATTTCTCAAATTAAAATTGTCTATAGCACAGTATCGGTTATGTCATAAAATTATAGAATATATTATGAATGCCCCGGTAACTAAGTAAACGGAGTGCGGAAGATCAAAATAACTCACAGAAATTTGTTAATTAACACTAAAACTGCCAAAATGAATCAAAATGATCCATTCCAGTTATCTTCTTCTACAACTATTAGAAAAATATAAACGCATCCTTGAAAAATGATTGATTAAATTGATTTTCTAATAATACGTACTTCTCGATTTTAATGAAACTGAAAGTCATAATTGTTCATAGTGAAGTATGCAATCATTTGATTGATGCAGTATTAATTGCGATTTTAAATAGCACATTTCAATTTAGAATACACTTAATTAACCCTACAAACAGTTCTATCCCGGGCTGCGAATTAATCATATTAGTATAAACACTGCAATCAGCATTTCAATGACATCAACTATATATTTCATCGGACGTGTGTCCGTATAAAGTAACAGTCTATAGTGACGTTTTATCGTAAAACGTCGCTCAGCGGGGAGCCACTATAGTGGCGTGTAGTAGCTGAAGGGTAAATTATTTAAAGCAATTTCCGTCCCACTTCGAATTCACTCGATAAAATCGCTCGAATCTGCTTCTTTTTTATCTGTCCTTCGAAAACATCGAATCGACAACGTTAAAGGGTGAAAACAGGACTATTCGCGTGGATCGGTAAAAGGAATTTGGTGCCTTAATATGGTACGCTATACATATAAATATAGTTACGTAACGGTTTATTTCAAAATCAGCGTGTAATTTGAAAGTAACAAGGAACGCTATTATTTTTGCAATAATTTTGTACCACAAGAATGCAGTAACCTGTTAATCGATAACAAGTGAAATACCAGTGAAATAAGATATTAAGTGAGGTAAATACGTAATCAATACAAATATACACTGTCTCGTTTAATCATTTTACGTAATATTTTATCCTTACATGCCTATGAAAATTGAGCTACCAGTATGGCATATATGGTAATGCATGCAAAACTCGTCGATTGGTCAAAGTGCTAATCATACTATGTAACCTGAAGTGGGAAAATGAACATCAAAAATAATCATATTCGACGAGATACAAAAACTAATTTCTTTAATTTAATAACTAATAACAATTTTTGTGCTTTGTTTATACTTAACTACTTCTATTAATTTAAAATGATTTCTAAATAACTTTACAAGAATAACATGCGTATTTATTGCTGGAAATCTCAGGATAATCAATTAAAAATTAAAGGATACTGGAAAATAAATAAAATCAATAAAAAAAGTCAACAAAAATCCGTTTGGTAATTCAGTCTCGCGATAACTGTATACGTATTGAGTGAACTAATAAAATAAACAAGATAAATAAACTTGTGTTATGGTTTTAATCCAATGCATCTTTTAAGTCTTTTGTTCTTCCTTTGAATGTCAGAAATTGCTAGAAAATAAAAAAATTATTCAAAGAATACGAGCTCTACATTATAATAGTACACAATACATGAATACTTCTATTTTACTACACTATAAGTCTAGGATTAAATTATTTGTTAAGCAAAAACTATCTTTTAATTTCTAATTTTAATAAATGCTAAAAAAGTACTTACGGTGTTTGTCCAACAATATTGGTATTATTCATATTTTTTAAATACAAACTAATAGAATCTATTAAAAAGTGTACTTGAATGAGTTAATGACAGAACGATGTTGTCATGGATACTGATGTAAAAATACACGAGTACAAATTTGTATGCCCTGAGACACCTAATTAGAAGATGTTCGTCTTCTCGCCGATTGTAAAGGAGTTCTAAACCGAGGTATACATTTTAAACATTTGTGCTATACACTGATTTTTAAACTTACATTAATTTATTAAAAGTTTTACTTTATTTGAAGCTGAGTAAAAATAAACAAGCAAATAAATTTTTATTTTACTCGAATCTCTCTAAATTATAGTACAAGACATACTTACATCAATGTTCTACTATAGTTAGAATTAGTCTTGATAATGTAAACACATTTAATCACTTTTAATTACTAATAAATTAACTTTTTACCTTTATTTTTACATGAAATGTATTTTGCAGAAAATTGACTTTTATATAACTATTACACTGTGGATTATGCTACATTTGAAAAAAGTAGAAACATTGAAAAACACTAATATAATTAATATAGTTTCCAATCTTACTTCAGCCAAATAAATTCCCGAGTGAATGAATACCGACTTAATCTTGTACACTTTTCATTGCATTAAATAAATTTATAAAAATGAAAATATTTTCAATCCCTACAGCCTCGTGATCGTTCACAAATGAACCTCTGAATAAATTTAACAGACCTTGACGCAACACCTATTTTCCGAATCTGATCGAGAGAAGGCAGGCAATTCCGTTCGAGACTCCTGGCAACATCAACAAGTGGCTCGAAGACCGAACACGATCGAGCCGAGCCGCGCGAAACTAAATTTGAAATTATAGACGATTACCCACCTGTCGATTGAACGCGTCTGGCATGGTGAACGTAGATGTGATCCAGCAGTAAGTGTTGATAGGATGCGTGGGTAAACCCTGAACGATACAGGAGATCGGATTACCGACGTATTGGGTAGCCGTGATCACCATCGAACACGTGAAAAGTAGCACCGTGGTGAAATGGTTGTGCAACCGGAACACCATCGAGTCGGTCGTGATTTCCTGCCATTTCAGGTATTGTCCGAGACCTCCTAGTAGCTTATACATGATTGTTCAACGCGGTCGACAGGTCGGTCGTGATCGTTTTCCTTGATCTCGAAATGTATCGTTCGCTTCCGGGCAACGAACACCTAATCACCGATTGGTTATCACGTGGACGCCGGCAGGCTGAAATCGTTTGAACGACAACAACTTCCGTAGGACCTCATCTAACGCGGTCGTCACGTTGAAAAGCGGTAAAACGAAACGAAACGAAACGGAACGGAACGGAACGGACACACGGCCGTACGGCTATGTCCACGCGGCGTTGCCTCCCTCTTTTCCTTTTCTCCAGTTCCTCCTTCTCCTTCGGCCTGCCTTTCGTCCTTCTTCCTTCTTTCTTCTGCCCTACTCCTCCTCCTCTTCCTCCACCTCCTCCTCGTACGGGTCACAGTTACAGAGCTTCTCGTTCTTTCTTCGAATGGTGCACGGTCGGTCGGTCTCGCTCTCTCGGTGCGCGTTCAGCCGATCGGTCACCGAACCACGGACGTTTCCCCGAGATCTTTCTAGTTTAGAGGTCTCTTCGCGAGCAAGGATTTAAAACTCGACTAAACAATCGTATGGAAAACATGCGACGTATCATCGGTATTCACGGCATCTCTCCTTCTCTTTCTATCTCTCTCTCCCTCTCGCTCTGCCTGTCTCGCTGAACGATCGATCGATCGTGTGATACGCGCGCGAACACGTTCAGACGCGTAAACAAATGCCGGGTCCACCTGGCGTCGTTGCTATAGAGTGTGTGCGTCCTTTTCTTATTCTGTACACGTGATCTTCCTCTCGTGTGCGGTACGATGCACGGACGACGCCGCTAAATAGAGCTACATGCGACAGGGGGTTTTTCGTTTTCCCTAGTCGATCCGATCCGAGAAATTTTTGTGGAACAAGCTTTAGCGCTCGTAACGTCAAGCCGAGCGCCGATCGCTTCGTGTCAGAGACACGGCACTCACTGACAATCCTTCCGTTCTCTGCCGTCGGCCGAGAGAATCGTCGCCGAGAAACACTGTTGGCCTGACGCAAAATTGTGCAACAGTTTCTCCTCCGCGGTGTCTCCGGTGGCGTCGTTGCTTCTCCCTCTTTCTTCTAC